AGTACATAGGAGTATGCAGGCGTGAATTTACCCTGATCAACACAATCATGCCAAGATTCCCTCCAACAGTGATCAGATAGATCACCAAGAAGAGCACAAACAGGATAGGCTGTAGCTCTGGACAGTCTGTTAATCCCAAGAGAACAAATTCAGTCACCAGGGAGTAATTGCCTTTGACCATTTTCTTAGGTGCCAGCATGATCACGTAGATGGATTAGGGAAATGTAAATGAGATACTTGTTAGACAGTTTCTCTTTTTTCTCCTATTTCCCTACCTTCCTCTTATTATTTACCCTAAAAACTGTTACAAATGTCTTAGAATGTCAGAGATACTACACTGGATGTTCAAATCCTTAAAAAATAGAAAATGAAACTCTTTCTTTGTGGTGTGCGTGTGTGTGTGCACACGCATGTCTGCATGCACTCCCAAGTGCATGAGTGGTATGTGCACACTACAATGTGCACGAAGAAGTCAGTGCAAGCGTGTTGATCCTTCCCTCTTGCCTGGTTGAGGAAGACTTTTAGCATCTCTTGTTATTAAATGATCTTATCCGTATAAGGAAACTGAGATTATAGACACATGTTACCATTATTAGTTTGAACATGTTCTAGGGAATGCATGACCTTATGTATATGGTGAACGGATAAAGGCAGGTGCTCTATGTACTGAGTTATCTCCCCAGCGAGAGCTCATAATCATGAGGGCTCATAATATTGAAGATCAAACACAGCCGCATTTAGCTAAAAGCACAGGTGCAGTTCATTTCTACCCAGGAAGGGTTCTGTGTTATTCAGTTGCTTGGGATGAGGGAGGGAGTCATGATGCAATAATAGTCCAAATGTGAACTTCCAAATTCACATCAAAGTTTGTTGTAAAACAATAGTCTCCTTTAAAAAAAAATAGAAAAGTTTTTCCCAGTGATGGCTATAATATTAAAGTTTTAGAATGTAGCATTTTTGTGGAAATACAAAAGTATGAAGTTACTTGAAATAACAAAGATATATGTGAGTTACTAAATAAATAATTTTACACATAGCAGTTTGTATGACATAGATAAAAGAAATTTAAATCACTAATAATAAGGTCACATTTTCATCTTCTTATCAATTTACTTTCTCATTATTTTCCCGAAATGAAATATTTCACAGCCTATGTTATAATTTTGGCAACTCTGTTCTGGTAGTGGGTCAAAAATTTGAATTTAAATACTTTAACCACATGGAGAAAACATTCAACTGTCTTTGTTATATTAAAACAAGCATGAATGAAAGGAGTTAGAGTTATTCTTAGTATAAAGAACATAATATCATTTTTTATAATTACAAGATTATTCTTTCCATGAGATAAAACCCTACACTGGTATTAAAAAGGATTTTTTTAACATTTGATTCCTCATGATGAATATCTAAACTGAAACAAACAAAAAAGTTGGAATACAAAGGCCATGATTTTCCTTCCTACCTGAACTCAGGAAAAATTCTCCAAGAAGCAGGTAAGGCCCAGCCAAGGAGCTGCTGAAAATGATTTATGTCTTATTTATAATTGTTAGTGTTTATCCTTAAACTAATTTTCATCAGACCCCAAAGTAATAATTAAAGAAAACATAGTAATTGGTTTGGATGTGAAATTTCTTGAACCTTGGGATTTGAGCAATGGGATTGCATCATCTTTTAACCGTCCAAAGTTACATATTTTGCTTGATTATAAATTGATCCTCAGAGAATTTCTTTTATTAGGAATGACTATTGTTGCATGAAAATGGCTAGAAAAATTAGTAACAGTATAACGTCTTGACATAATTCATGGAATTTGTTTTTTCTATGATCCTTTCAAAGCCAGAACTATGCACTGTACAACCTCTCACAATGATGAAAAATGAGTAGTCATTACAAAACTCAATATAAAATAAATACTTTCTAATAATTTTCTTATTTTAGTGATCTTCAGACCAGAAAATTATGTAATTAAACTTGATAAAATTATTAGAAAGCAAATTTATACAGTATAAAAATCTGTCGAAGATATTAAGAATTTTCAGCAAGAGATAAGGACATCAAATTTATCAATAAATAAGGTTATACACCATTCAGATTTGACAGAAGAAAAGAAACCAAACCACATCAACAAATTCTTCATTAACTAAAAAAGAAAATAATATCTGTGAATAATCACCGATATAGAAATTCAGTGTTGCATTGAGAACTGAAACCTACCTAAGAGGTGGTGGTGCACACCTTTAATCCCAGCATTTGGGAGCAGAAGCAGGTATATTTCTGTGAGTTTGAGGCCAGCCTGGTCTACAGAGTTAGCTATGAGACAGTTAGAGCTGTTATACAAAGAAACTCTGCCTCAAAAAACAAACAATAAAAAGAAGAAGAAGAAGAAGAAGAAGAAGAAGAAGAAGAAGAAGAAGAAGAAGAAGAAGAAGAAGAAGAGAGAGAGAAGGAGGAGAAGGAGGAGAAGGAGAAAGAAAGAAAGAAAGAAGGAAAGAAAGAAAGAAAGAAAGAAAGGAAGGAAGGAAGGAAGGAAGGAAGGAAGGAAGGAAGGAAGAAAGGAAGAAAGAAAGAAACTCCAAGCTACATTTCATTGATGAATGGTGAAGTGTGAAGATGACTAACTGACAATGATCAGAATGAAGGACAACAAAGGGGGAGAGTACAGGGTCGATGTAGATTATTCTCAATATGTAATAATTACTTATATGACAATTCACTTACTAATATAACATACTGTGAACAATAAAAATGAACAATGAAAACTGCAAAGGTATAGGCAATTCTTTCACTAGATATGTATGAAAAAAGTATCACTAATAATGGGGAGCAAGGATAGGCACCTATTCACCTCTTCACAAAGTCCCAGGAAATGTAAGGTCAACAAGGAAAAAATAAGAAATTAGACTAATAAATTTAATGGAATAGGAACAATTTTCTTTACAGATGAAAAGTAAAAATATTAAAGAATCTATAAAATAAATAAACATACTAGTCACTAAGAGAGACTAAGTAATCATCAGGACAAAAGCAGAAGCTTATATTTAAATGTACCTACCACATAGCCTTGCAACAAACAAACATGGAAAAAGCAATATGACATAAGATATCACATGGCCTTATAGTCCTGAATTATGTTTTAATACTGACTTGCATCTATATTCTTATCTTGATAAATTGAGAATTTAACATTTGAATGTATTTGATATAACAATCAAATACAAATATTTAAATAATATGTGTTATATATTTATTATATGTTATATATCATATTTATAATATATTATAGTTGTAATTTATATTATATTCTATCATTACATATTACATAATATATAATATTTGAATTTAAACATTTATATTTAATAATAAAAATGTTTGTAACAAATTATATGTTTCCTTAGATATTTTTATGGGTCTATATAAATTATTAAGTGCCAAGGTGATTCTAAATAAATATTAACAACAAAGCATGCAATAATCTTAGGATATAATTGCTTAGTATGCAACTTCAGACAAATATGTGAATATGTGGTTTTATCTTAACCACATCTTAGCCTGTGAGATGATCTGATTGCTCCTCTATTCAGCCTGTGAGATGATCTGATTGCTCCTCGAGTTCATCCTCCTAACACTGAATCTGAAGTTTTCAGATTTTGTGCTGCCAAAAAAATTTCTTTATTTGTTTACAGAAAAATCCTCAAGACCATGTGTTACCAAAAATAAAGCAAACTTTCTATCTTTCCCAGTGTAACTGGGAAGAAAAGGACCAGTCAAGGCAAGGGGATCACTATCTGCAATGACTTACTGCTGGCTTAGTTTCCATGTCTGTCCTTTCTGACTTGATCTTTACTCTGAAGTTAACCTTCTCTGAACTGCCAGACGAAGATGAAAGCAAAAGTGATATGCCAGACCGTAATCCTAGTAGGAAGTAGGCTGACAAAAGAGAGACCTGGACCAGCAGTCTTACATCTACAAAATCATAATTCATCAGGTTCCTGCTACTTGTATGACTCCTTCTCAAGCACATCAGTAAGAAACAGAAAAAAACCATCATGATCCATTTCCTCATTTTCACTAGTAAGTAGGGGAGTACAGATGTACCATTGTTTCTTAAGTGTCCTTCATCAGAAAGTCTGATGGGTCTGTCTGTCAGTGAGATAAATAACTGAGAGCATATTTATCCTGTTAACACTTGTAAACCACAAGTGCCCATAGGGATGCAGGCAGATCACTTGGCATTGCACTGAGAGGCTTACACTTAGAATAGTACTTATCCAAATCTGCTGTGCATATCAGTTTGAAGATGTGGATTTGAATGGGCAGATATGAGGTGGATCATGATTCACCATTTCCATCTGCTGCAGGGATAACTGTGTTACTAGTTTGTGTCAGCTGATGTTTTTTTCTTTTTTTTTTTTTTTTTTGCTGAGAGAAAATGTCTGACAGGAGCAACTTAAGAGGAATTTACTCAGGTTCTTTATTTAAGAAGATGACAAGATATCCTGAGTAATTGAGGAAGCATGGGGACCTTGGAAGAGGATTGAAGGGGTGGGGAGAGGCAGGGAGGGGAGCAGAGAAACATGTAGAGCTCAATAAAAATCAATAAAAAAAATAGTTTAAGAAGGTGTGTAGTTATCATGAAAGGAAAGCAGAGAGGCAGGAGAGAGGTGGCTCAGTCACAGTGTGTTCACACTCAAAAGGCATGAGCTGAATGGCTGTGTCTGTGCCTTCTTCTGTGTTCTTTTATATTCAGCCTATGCCCCCAGAAAAGGGGATGATGCTGTGAGTTTTCAATATGAATATTTTACCTCAGGTTATCCACTGTAGAAGTACCTCCACAGGCAGAGGAAGAGATGTGTCTCCCAAGTGATCATCAACCTAATCAAACTAACTGTGAACATTGACTATCACTGATGTATCAAATACAGAGGGAAAAACAGGTCTGAATATAAGGCCAGGTGATTTATCTCAAAACACATAACTTTTAGCTGGAATACCAAAACTAAGGCCACAGAGAATACTAAAAAGTCATCTAAATACAGTTTTATTCATGCCAAATTATAGTTTCAGCTTATTGAAAAACCGAGGCATCACTGCTGTCCTGATAACTTTTTGTCTAAAAATTTTTTTCAAGGCCTGCTTTACGTCTTTATTCCTCAGGCTGTAGATCAAGGGATTCAGCATTGGACTTACAAACGTGTAGAAGACAGCGATTACTTTGGATTCCTCAACAGTCTTGTCAGTGGGTGGTCTTACATACATGCAGAAGAGAGTCCCATAAAATAATGTGACAGCCATCATGTGGGAACCACAGGTAGAAAATGCCTTGCGCCTTCCTTCAGCTGACTTGATCCTTAGGATGGCAGCAATAATGAAAATATAAGACACCAGAATGATTGTGAGGGAACTGGAGAGGTTGAAACCAGCTGATATTAACATGGCATGTTCTTTTATATAAGTATCAGAACAAGACAGCTTAATGAGTGGAGGGTCAGCACAGTAGAAGTGGTTGATGACATTGGATTTACAGAAGGTCATTCTGAAGGTCAGGATGGCTTGGAACAGCCCATCTGAGAAACCATAGACATAAGGACATATGGCCAAGGAAATGCAGACTCTCCTGGACATTTTCACACCGTAATGCAGAGGATTGCATATGGCCACATAGCGGTCATAGGCCATGGCTGCCAACATGTAAAACTCTGTGAGGAGAAGGGCAATGAAAAGGTAGCACTGGATAAAGCAGCCAACGAAGGAAATCGTCTTCTTATCTGATAAGAAATTAGTCAACATCTGTGGGGTGGCCGTTGAGGTATAACACAGATCCACAAATGCCAGGTTACTGAGGAAGAAGTACATGGGCGTGTGAAGGCGGGAGTCCAGGCTGATCAGGGCCACCAGGCCCATGTTACCCAAGACAGTGACAAGGTAAACAAACAGAAACAGCACGAAGAGGAGAGGCTGGATTTCTGGGAGATCTGTGAGCCCCAGCAAAATGAATTCTGTAATTTCAGTGCTGTTTGTGAGGGCCATTTCCTGAGAGTTGGGTTTTGGACTCATGCTGTGAAAAAAAGTTAGAAGTGAAGATGTAATATAGTCCAGGAGTTTTCAGCCCTGTTCTCAGAACTACTAGCACCTATGGAATGCTAAGAAGGGAGAAATTGTCTTTACTCTCAGTAGAGCACATCAATTGGTTATCTATGACCAAACCTTAAGCTCTGGAATCATACATACAACGTTGTGTTACAGACTGAGGAAGTTATACTTATGTATGTATTCTGAATATGTATATATATATATGTTGAATTATGAAAATAAAAGATTAAAGGCTTCAAGGGAGAATGAAATATTGATAATGCAAAAACACAGAGAGTTTGTAGCATTATTTACTGTAAAAAATACTACTGCACTTGGATACATTATTTGTACAAAGGGCTTAATTAGAAAGCTTAATGCTCAGCTAAGTGTACCCACCATTTCAAAATACATTATTAGAATATTGGACTGATGAAGAAATTTTATTTTGCCATATATATATATATATATATATATATATATATATATATATATGAAGGTAATCATGTCTTTCAAGGAAAAGTAGTTTAAACTAAAGGTTACATGTTAAGCAAAATGAGCCAAGTAATGCAAAATTGTATCAGGTTTTCTCTCATATTTGCAAACTTAAAATGGTGACTTGAAAATAGAGGGTCAACTTTTTTGTGAAGGGAAAATTGAAGGGAAGAAAGAGAGAAAGGGTAAGACAGCATCATAAGTGGAGTATGTGTAGTAAAAAAACACACAATGTAAGCACCCTAGTGAAATCCATCAAATCAAAAAAGAACATGATCCAAACAAGCAAAACAAAAATACCCAGAAAATCCAAGAGCAAATTTTTGAAGAACTTAGCTATGAAAGACAAAATTCTGGTGTCAAAACTCAGCTGGAATTAGTTCATCAACAGAACACTGGTGTAGCATATATGATCATGTATGATGCCCCAACTGTAATTCCCAGCACTTACATTCTGCCATGGATAAGTGTACGTATACATGTATAATATATATGTATACAACATATCAACTGAATTAATAAGTAATTATTTAATGTATGAATTATAGTATCTTTAAGATAATTATAAGAACAGTAACTAATACTTACATAAAGGGGAAATTACACTTTGTTCTGCAGCTAATATTTAAGAAGTTGAGAGATCAGGTTCACCCAATTTATTTTAAATTTCTCCTTCTTTACAATCAACTAACCCTGAATTTTCTCTTCATTATACCTTCATACTCAAAATACTTTTGTATTACACTTCTTAGTTGCTTTTATTTTTTGTGAGGATGTGTAGGGGACATGTATTTAAACACAAGTGAAGGTTAGAGGATAACTCTTCCTCTCCTTCCACCATGTGAACCCTAAGGATGGAACTCAGGTCACCAATCTTGGCAGAAATTCCCCGTACCCACTGAGCCACCTTTCAGCTCTCATAGTTAAAATCTTTTATTGAACTATTTTCATAAATCATGTTTCATCATAAAGTGAGTGACTTCAATTACTTCGCTATTTAATTTAGAAAGTGGGTAATCAACTAGTCCTTCTGTTCCTTACCCCAAAGTTCATGTTCTTAATAGGTGTTGTTTGGATGGATTAGTGTTACTAATAATGCTCCCATGGTCTTTAACCCCACACCAATTAATAATTTTAAGCTATTGCTCTGCATGTGATCACAGTTCTCACACCCACAAAACTCTTCTGGGTAAATATAAATATGATCCTTTTGTTGTCTTAAGAAAATTGAAGTAACTGGGAGATATCAGCCTGAGAGTGGCTGTGGAACGTGATGTATGAACCCAAAATTATCTTGGTTTTTATTTTGCTTTTGGTTTCTGGTTTTTTGAGTCAGTTTTTCGCTTTAGCTCTGAAGCCTGTCCTGGAGAAGCTCTTGTAAACCAGGGTGGCCTCAAACTCATGGAGATCCACCTGACTCTGCCTACCAAGTGCTGGGATTGAAGGCATGCACCACTACTGCCTGGCAAAATTATCTTGTTTTTAAATCTCTGTTATCATATATTGTTCTGTTACCTGGACCACATTATGAAACTCTCTGAGATACATGATGTGATATCCAGGATATCCAAGTGCAAATCTTTGCAAAGGACAGGAACAACCATGGCATTCTTTTGTAGTACCAGGAAAGAATTTATGCTTCGTTTAAGCATAAACATGCTTAATTATGGGACTAATTTATGCCCTTCATTAATCTGGAAATAATGTATCTGTTGTCATTTTAAATCCAAACCAAACTGGGGCTTCAGCCAGAACTTCTGCTATATCCTTGCTCCCCATAGACACAGGTATCCAATTGAGACTCTGTGAATACCCAGTTAAGAATTCCCTTTGCTATATTTCTCACTTGGAGAAGTGAGTTTATAGCAAAGGGAATATGATGATCACATTTTCTGTTTTTCAACCACTACCCTGGTTCAGATTGTGTTACAAATATCTTCATTTCATCAGAGAGCTATAGAAAGAGATCAGGATTTCAGCCCAATACGGGCTAAATTTGTCTTATACATGTTCCTCTTTTGTACTGGAGCCTAACTTCTCTTCGGAGCCTCCGGCTATGTCCTTCTTTATGCCCATGCAATTAAAAGTCATCTAATAAACTTCTTATCCCCAAATATTTCTTCTTACTGTCCCTGTTAAATGTGTATCCAAAATTTTCATATTATATCAAAGGTAGAGAATATAACTGTCTTTGACATTGGAGTGTGTGAGAATCTGCCCAAAATTTTGTTTCTTATATCTAAAGGAAACATAGTTGGGTGAGTCACAATTATTTCCCAAACTTCAGGTTATTAATGTTGCACAGAAAAAGGCGGTCATGGGATGGAAGCCGAGGGAAAAGTAACTCTCAAAAGAGCCTTATTTTAAAAAGTTTAGGCTCCAGGTCATAAACACCCATGATAAGATGCTGAGATGTACAAGCATTAGGAGAAATAGATGCCATGCTTAACATCATGGGATCCTCGAAAGCAAAAGCAAGAGCCCTTGATTCACCAAATATTGTTCCTGCCTCTTGCAGGTTTGGAGGGTTGTAGGAGTTGCTTTCACTCCCGCCATGTGACTGGCCTAAGTGCTAGAAGTTGGAAAGCACATGGCTGGGGGGAGAAGTTTTAGTGAGAGGCGCAAGGTTATAGCAGCTCCCAGTACTTGGCATTGAGAATGAGACTACTGGAGGCTGTGTCTGGTATTTGGATGAAGACTAGCAGCTAGGGGATCAATCCTTAAATAAGAAGACTCATTATGGACATTAGAACTGAAACAAACATCTCTTTAAAAATTCCTGCCCTTTCACAGTCTTTCTAGTAAAGAGAAATTGATAAGATTCTGAATAAATGAATGTTCCTTCATTAGCCAATAAGAAGTTTAAGAAAACAGATATCGTTTAAAGTCAGACTAAAGTAGGAGACAAGATGATACTTTTAGAAGAGATTCCAAGTAAGGAGGAGCAAATTGCAGAAATGCGATTTATTCTCATTGGAAATGTTACTGTTGGTATCGTACTTCGGTTTCCAGCCTTTACACAAACTACATCATGTTCAACTGCTTATCCACCATAAGTCAACTTAAGAAGTCAAAATAATAGTAGAAAAAGGGAAGGAACATTCATTCAATACAGCCACATTGCGAAGAGGAAGAAAGAGATACAACGAACACCTTAAATTTTGGGGGGAGTCCTGAAATACTATTAAAAGTTTAAACAGAGGATCAAAGATGTGCACACCTGAACAATCCTGGTTAAGATGTGGTCCCTCCTACCATTGACTCATCCTTATCTGCTCTGTCTGGGCTTCAGTGTCATCCTGTAAGATAGTCTGATAAGCTGTAGTAACTGTGTGAATTCCTTTACTAGAGACAAGTGCCCCTCAGGTTGGGAAAATTTTCCTTCTCCCAGAATTAGATTCTTGGGAGAAATTCCCATTTCTTTGTGGTCCTTTATTTCAATATTCTGAGAGCCAGATAGAGAGACACATATGTCTCTTTAAAACATCTTAATTTCTCCCAGTTAAAATATGAGTTTTGATTGCATGAAGGCAGAAGAAGAAAATGCAAGCTGGATGTTTCTAGGAAGCAAAAGCACTTTTCCCCTGAAAGACTGACACTTGTCAGTAAATATACTAAACCTCAGTATCTGCCTTGAAAGCTGTCAAGTGGCCTGAATATGCTTTTAGAAGACAGTTCAGCTGGGAAAAATACAACTGTGTCATTCTGTGCTTGTAAAAGGGAAGTTACACAACTATGTTTCAGATGAACAGAAGAAATATAAGTAGGTCTTCTTGAACAATCATTGTTAAGGTGATCTAAAACCTGAAAAGTCAGTACATACTAACTGCTGTTAGGAGCACAGTTTATACTGCTCAGAGCTAACCTCCTTTCTAGACTTCCTTAGTGTGCTCTTAATCATAGGAAATACCAAGATTCCTGTTTACCACTGATTTGATAATTAAAGAAAACCCTTCCTGTCTAGGAATTAAAGTTAAGCGATCTCTAAACAGGCCAAATTAATTACTTGTCCTGATTTAGAAACCAGTATTTACACCTGAATACAGAGAGGGAGTAAAAACACAAAACCTACTTACTGCTCTGACATGCACCACACTTCTCGGTCTCTGTAGAATTCTCTTGATGCTCTATAAACTGTAAAAATATACCCCTATTTATACTTGCATGAGGGAAGTGGACCAAACTAAGCCTTTCTGCAGAGGGAATGAAGCACAGGAAGATGAGCCTCACAGCAGGGACCAATTCTTGGCTTTAATAGGAGCATTTGGGAATCCAGAAACTAATTAACTACTTCAGTTGTCTTATATTCCATACTTCCACATTTAAAAATATCTTTAATCTGAGCTCTGCAGAGGACATAGTTTGTTTGATTGTCTATTTAATATGCTAAAAATAAATTAGGCAAAGTCAGTCACTTTTGTCTATTGTTCTCGAAGAAATTATAAAATCCTATGATTTGATGATTTTGGGTAAACAATAAAAAAGCATTCCATT